TTACTTCATTAGGGATTGTAACATCATTTATTCTTTCTTCATCTATTAGCTGGGAATGTTTTAAATAAAGAAGGACTTTCCTTTGTCATCTACTGGTTACTCCCAGGAATCTTTTTTTTTCCAGGAAATGCAGGATGTTTGAACTTTGCCCTTTTTAAGTTGTTTTCAGAATCATGAACATCCTCCAAAGATGTCAGAATCAGAACATCATCCAAAGATGACCAAAAGATATTTTTGTTTTTTGGTACATGGCTATTTTATGTGTTTTATTTTTTTCATTCTTAGTTACTTATTTTTTTCTTTTTTATTGCCTTCCCTTTCACCCAAGTTAATTTGTGTCTATCCCCTAATAAGTGGTTTACCCCCCTCCCCACTTACCCCTGGTCAACTTCAAAGAATATTTCTTTTTGTGTGATTTTTCTTGATTTTTTACAATAGTGGTCTCATGCCAGTATTTGTCCTTCTGTGACTGACTAATTTCACTTAGCATCATGTCCTCTGTTCATCCATGTCATGAGATGTTTCACAGATTCATCATTGTATGTTTTTTATTTGTAACTCTATATTATCTAATAGGAGCTCTGGTAGCATAGTGGCTAAGGCACTTGACTGCTAACCAGAAGGCTAGCGGTTCAAACCCGCCAGCCACTCCTCGGAAGGAAGGTTGGGCATTCCTACTTCCGTAGTGATACTATACTGCCTTGGAAACCCAAGGAGGGGTCGCTATGAGTCGGGGCCGACTCGATGGCAAACAACAACAACAACATATTATCTAATATTAATATAACTATACCAACTTTTTTTCTGGTATTTGATTCCCCCCCTCCACATCCTTTAAATTTAACTCTCACATGTCCTTATACTTAGGTATACCTCATTTTTAATTTAATCTGACAATCTCTTTGTCTTTTAGTAAGTGAGTTTAGCCCATTTACATTCATATAACTATAAATACATTTGGGCTGTTCCTATCATTTAATTTATTATTGTAATTTGTCTCACTTTTGTTATGCTCTTTTAAAACCCTTTCTTGCTGTGAAAAAGTTTGTATCTACAATTTGTCCCTAACAAAAACAAGAAATTAGCAGCTTACACATTCCTTGATTTACTCCCCAGTTAAGGAGCTCTGGTGGCGTAGTGGTTAAAGCCTTTGACTGCTAACCAGAAGCTCGGTGGTTTGAACCCAGCAGTGGAGACAGATGAGGTACTCTGCTTCTGTAAAGATTTACAGCCTTGGAAACCTTATGGGTTTTACTATGTCACTAAAGGGTCACTATGAGTCAGAATTGACTTGATGGCAGTGGGTTTGGGTTTTTTTTTTTGTTTTGGCCTATGATGTTAAAAGTCTGGGAGCTCTGGTAGCATAGTACCTAAGGCACTTGACTGCTAACCAGAAGGCTGGCAGTTCAAACCCATCAGCCACTCCTCGGAAGGAAGATGG